TAAGTAATTTATACTCTGTGCTTCAATGACCTTTCATGTTAACTTATTCCATATGTCCTTGTTTGAACGATGAATCTCCATGTTTTTTTTTTGGAGACCCTTATTATTCGTCACCTTTAAAACAGGATATTATTTTAAAGGAAATTGATGCACTTCCTACATTCTAGAGTATTTTTTACCTTAAAAAAATGTGTTCATATGAAGCTATTCTGGTGCATTCATTCGATGCTTCATCCTATAATTTTAACTAATTACCTATTTGCTTTTTATGAATTATATCAACAACATTTTCTAGTCCCCCAAATTTGGCCCCACACCGGGTCTTGGAATCACATAGTCCAAGTTGACACTCCAATATAGTGCATCTGTCGAAGATGCCGTCCTTAGAATTAAATGTTAAACCGAGGACCTGTCAGCCTGTTCAGTTGGATGTTAAAGATCCCGTGACACTATTTGAAAAGAGAAGGGAGTTTCTCCCGGTGTCCTGGCCATGGCTATTTGTGGGATATTGCTGTACACAATTAGCTACTACATTTCGCCCATGAAATACAGTCAATCTACTTTACAGTACATCCTGTAAAGCTCTTTGAGGCTTCTCAATGACGTGATAAGGCACTACATCAAATGCAAGATTATTATATTTTAATGTGGTTTTGCATGCCACCTACCTACATTTACTGCCAAAAGGTATGAACCACAATCAATAGTGAAGGTCAAGTCATCTGAACCTGCTTAAGATCTCTGATGTCCAATATTGCACACTACTTTGCATCTTCACTACTTTGCATCTTCACGCAGATTCACCAGAATGATACCAAAGCTAAAAGGATTAAATTATGAGGGCATTCTCTATTTCCCTGAGTTTAGAAGGATGAGGGGTGATCTAATTGAGGTTTTTAAAATAATAAAAGGGATTCGGTACGGTAGATACAGAGAAACTATTTCCTATGGAGGGGAATCCAGAACAAGGGGGCGTAGTCTTAAAATTAGAGCTAGGCCATTTAGGAGTGAAATCAGGAGGAAGTTTTTCACCCAAAGGGTAGTGGAAATCTGGCCCTCTCTCCCCTAAAAGGCTGTGGATACTGGATCCATTCAAATTTTCAAGGCTGAGGTGGACAGATATTTGTTAGATAAGGGATATGGGGAAAGGGCGGGTAATTGGACTTGATTTACAGATCAACCACAATCTTATAGAATGGCAGAACAGACTCGAGGGGCTACATGGCCTACTCATGTATCTATGTTTCTATCTTTCAAGACCCTTGTACCCAAGTGGATCAGAAAGGGTGCGCTTCCACTCTTTATTATGTTTTTAAAAAAATGCAATCTTGAAACCGAATAGGCCAATGGGGCAGATTGTTTGCAGTTGAACAGCAACATTAGCGAAGTCTGACTTACAAAATATTGCTGCTTTGTGGAGTCCCTTAACGTGGTAGTTAGTGCGCTCACCTCGCAAGCGGGAGGATCTGGGTTTGGTCCGCAGGCAGGGCGAAACCTTAGGCAAGTTTCCTTACTCCCGCTCCTCTGTTTACCTAGCGATAAGTAGAAACCCAATTGTTAGTCGATTGGCAGAACACTTTCCGGCGGTAATAATCCTTAAAAAAAACATGATTTATATAGCCGTACAGTTGATGCTTGCAAAAAAAATCAATAACAAATAACTCACATTAAATTATATTCTCTCAAAGAAAGAAAAACATTTTGTCATTGTACAACCTTCCTTCTAAGGAAATCTGCCAAATGGTATCCTGTTAACTCTGACTTGTTTTCGTTCAGTCACGATCATCAGTTCCATAGTGCTAACAGTTCCTGATCTGTGACCTTTGCATTGCCTGTTTTCGGGAACCTTTTAACTGCTACCAAAGAACCAAAGATTCTGAAGTACATCAATCCTAATTGTTCTTAATGAGATCCTTTATATTCCTCACTCTGTGCTTCTGATTTAAATACAGCTTTCCCAACATCACCTGAACCACTTCACTCAAATGTCACAGAAGTAAAGATCTTAAGGGATCGTGGCAAGCCCATCAAGTGCAATTACTATTGAAGAATGACAGAATCTTTAGTTCTTCCACATTTCCCCCCTGGTATCTGCTCTAAGCCTTCACAACACCTACGAGCCAGGAAAAAACTTGAAAGTGTGTCATCAAGTACATCTTTCCTCTTAAGAGTAAGAGTAGCATAATTTCAATGGACACTCACAAGTAGACTGGGTAAAATATTAACAAAGTGCGTGTTTTTTAGTTAATTCATAGCATCACATATTAACAAAACACGTATTTTTAGGAACTAATGTGCCTAAAGGTAACCATACATATGTGCCTATGAGTAACCATACAAATGGAAATAATATTTTTTCGCCCACAACATACACAGTCAATTCACTTTACAGTATATCCTGTGATGTGCTTTGAGACTTCTCAAAAATGTGATAAGGCGCTGTATCAAATGCAAGGATAATTATTATTATTTTGGGAATCTGAGACAAGCTCTGTCAAAATACTATTCAGGGAGAGCAATGCATTCTTCAATATTTTATTATCCTCCAAACTGCAGTTTTTGGTAGGGACTTTTTTTGTTGCAAGCAGACATCTGTTTCTTTGAAGTCTTTTGATGGCGTCACACAAAAAAAAATTTAGGCAAATAAAAGGCTGCAGTTCTCTACATTGTTCCCCTGTGGAATACTATTATTGTAATTGAATGTACGTTTTTGTTAAATTGCATCTGTGCATTGATTTGTGCCAGGTAATTACACTTCTGTGAGTAGAATTGCGTTAGTTACACCATTGCCTGCAAATAATGCCAAAGTACTAGTCAAAACATCAGTTTTGAGTGAACTAGTATCTATCAACAGGCACTATGGGTGCATTAATATCTAGAAGGTACATGAATACTAGTAAATATAATTCATTTGGACAAAACAATATACTTTTGGGTGGCAAAGCCTCACATTTCGCCAACCTGCACCTAATATTCTCTGGCCTTATGAAAGCAGACTGTGTCCCGACATAGAGAGAGCGTACATTCCATTCCAGGCACATGTTATGTTGAACTCCCATACTGGTTTGGGTACTTTTAAGCATGGTGATAGGATTCTGCATGTGTCGGGCCACCAATCCAAAAACAACTTCTCACAACTAAGCGTACTATGCATTTTTAAAGAAACCATAAGTATGTGTTCATCATTTCTAGTAATAGCTTCAATACTTTAAAATGTAGGGGTCTTGTACACAATTACTGCTACCTGCTCAGGGACAGCTTTAATATTCTCGCAAATTCTAGTAGCCTGTCACAATTATTGTCTGACACCATGTGTAAAAACTTAAAATAAGAGCAAAAGAGAATAGGAAATACAGGAAACTTTTTTTTTAATAAAAGGTTGGCAATAAGCATACTGTGAAACAGATAACCAGCACAGACAGTGAAATAAATGGGTTTTCAAAAGTAACTAGACAAATCCCTATAAATGAATGAGGATTATTAGATTTAGAGATGACTACGTCAGAGGAATTTTGTGGGAAATTGGATGGGTACGACAGCCTTAAATTGTTACTTGAGCCAGGTGCTGAGCCAATGTACTATATCGCAGAATTGGTCAGTAACTGCAAGGAATAAAATTGGGATAAGTTTTAAAAACAATTGTAAAGGATTAAAGGCAAAAAAGTAGAGGGATTTATATTAAAAGGTGCAATTTAGAAAAATAGATGTAGCATTAGGATAGACACAATGGGCTGAATAGCCTTCTGCACTGAATGTTTTGCACTATATAAATGCAATTTGTTAAGACCTTGAGAGGCAAGATTTTATATAATACAAAATTACATTTGTAAAGCGCCTTTCATGTTGGGAGGACGTCCCAAGGTGTTGGACAGTCAGGGATTTGGACTCGAGCTGAGGGTCGGGATTGGGGAAGGTGGAGGGCAGGGAATGTCCAAACAATCCTCCACACATAATTGTTTGTTCACTTTATGCACACTTATCATAATCCTTGCATTTAATATAGTGTCTTATCACATTGCCAAATGACTCAAGATTTTACTGTGAAGTGCAGTGACTGTGTATTTTGTAGGCGAACACAGCAGCCAATCTGCACATAGCGACTTCCAAACCACAAAACTGGTGCAAAAAACATTTTTGGGGACCATGTCATCCTCAAACTGGCTGCTGCCTTTGACTGTAAATCCAGTCACTCCAGCTGACAGCAATTCACTGTGGAGCCCTCGAGACGATACAGGAGTCTGCCCACAAAACACAGGCACTGTGCTTCACAGTAAAATCCTGTGAAACGCTTTGAGACGATCGTCCGACGTGAAAGGTGCTAATACCAAATGCAAGGATTATTATTGCTGTGTTAGACGCAAGAATTAGTGTCATTTCGCCCAGAAAACGTACAGTCAATTCACTTTCCAGTATATTCTGGGGAAGAGATTTGAGACAGCTCAACAATGTGACGAGGCACGATATCATAAGCTAGGATTATTATGAGTAATAAGCGCAAAACCTCTGAGTACTTGGCCACTCGTGCTCGCCTTAAGCCAGCAGCAGGGTGGAAGGGAATTAAATAAAGTACATTACATTTGTAGCCCAAAGCCCAGCAAATACTAGCCCAAAAGTAGCCCAACATTACATGCGTTGCCTCCTCTTTGGGTAGCACCAGAGTAACCGGTTCAGGTCAGTGCTTTAGAAACTGTGTAAGAATAGGACCACAAAAAGGGGAGGGGGGGGCGGGGCGGGGCGACCACCGCGTTACGGGTTCAAATTTCAGAAAAATTAAAAATGTTAAAAATTCGGCACGACGCAAACCCGCCCAAACCCGCCCAAACCCGCCCACCTCGGCCGCGCGCTCCGGCAGTTGGTGTCGGCGGTTGGGTTGCGGGAGTGGGGGTGGGGGGGAGGTGATGGGAGGGGTAGGACTGACCTCGACCAATGGGGTGGGAGGATCTTTGTACGTGCGAGGCTTGTGAGCTTCCAGGTCCAATCAGGAAGAGCGATGCTAGCGGGAGCGGCCGCCGCAACCGTCCCTCGCCGCAGGCCTGTTTGTGGTGGAGAAGGGCGGGGCGACACAGTGAGGCGACCCAACCTCTCTCACTGTGTGACTGTGGTCCGGAGAGGAGAGGAGACGCTCGGCTCGGGGTGTGTGGGGGAGGGAGGGAATCTCACCGCAACAGCACGGGAGACACGTTTAATGTCTTAGAGAGAGAGAGAGAGAGAGGGGGAAGAAGAAAGAAGAAGGAAGAAAACAAATAAATAAATACGAAACGCTCACGCGCGCCAACCGTCGAGCCAAAGGCAGAGGATTGCGCATTTCTGACTGTCGAAGGTAAAAAAAGAAAAGGGGGTAAAAAAAAAAACAGCGGGTGTCGAGTCCGCAAGCGGCCGCTCCTCTCCTCCTCCTCCTCCTCCTCCTGCTGCTGCTGGTGGTGGTGCTGGTGGTGGGGTGTCCCCGGGCTGATGTTTACCATGGCAGCTGCAGGAATTGCTGCTCCCGCTGGTTTAGAGTGGGCTCTCAGCGTGTAATAATTATAATAATAATAATGATAATAATAATAATAATAATAATACCTCCTTTGTATATGCGGGTCTTGTGTGTAGATAGGGTATGCGAATCCGTTACGTTTCTCTCTCTCTCTCTCTCTCCCCCTCTCTCCCTATGCGTGTTACAATAATAATAATAATAATGATAATAATCCCTCTTTGTACGTGAGTGTTATGTAGATGTGTGTGTGTGTGTCTTATACGGTATAGATGTGTCTGTTTCTCCACAAGTGGCGGTGGACGTGACTGGGTTGTGGTCAATCCAGCGTTGTGCTCTCTTCTTTCCCACCACCAAACCCCCCCCATTTCCCTGGATACGAACAGCCATAGACACCAATAATGTCGTTTTCTTTTAACAAAAAACAAGGCAGCCGACTACAAGCATGAGACGCCTTGCAGAGAGCTCGCCAGCTGCAAAATGCACGACAACACCGTGTGCGCGATATAAACACGATCGCGACAGAGGAGGCAAACGATTGCTCTGTGTGTTGTAATTCCCTGCATTTCATGGCGCATAGATTCGGGAACTTTTATGAAGGATATTCAGCAGTCGCATGGCTGGAGATGTGCCCCGTTCATTATGCATTCATGATCCGTCTGCATTTGTCGTAATTTTCTGCTCTGTTTCTCTGCTTTCGAATTGTGCAGTGCTGGGTTACTAATAGTTATTTTATCTGCAGTGTATTTGTTTTCGTTCACTTGGATGTTTAAGTATATTTTTAGATCTATTTGATAGATAGTTTCTGTGGCCCGAAAAGGATTCAGAAGCACTGATCGCGAGTAAATACATTTTAGTTTTATTTTTGTACGGCGTTTTCGTAAAAAAAAAAGGGTTTTTGTTTGCTCCATTTTGGTGTTTTGAATTGGGACCCTGAACTCTGTCATTCTTATTTGTGGGGGAGATGGGGAAGAGGTTAAAAACCTTGGCCTTTTTGGGTCTGGAACATTGTTGGGTTTTTTTAAAAGCTTGTTTGTTGCCCAACTGTGTTAGACTGTACCAAGCTGCATTATTCTAGCATCTTCCTAATCGCGAAGGGGCACATACATGAAATGATGCATACATAAATAGGCATAGGAAGGAGATGAAATGTGTATTCTAGATAAACTCCACGATTCTGAATGTTGATTAATTCTTAAAACTTTTCTATTTCTTTGATCACTTAAAATGTGTGACGTTTCTGATGGATTTAGAATTGTACAGCCTATGTTTTGGATGAGCCAAATACTCTGTATTTTTGTTTTGTGTATAGAACAGTCATTTGCGCTCCCATTTAATTTGTACAGGAATATTAGACATTGATGTTCCCTACGCTCAGCGGGCTCCGGCCTGCTTCACATCCCCCACCTCGCCCGCCCCACTATTGGCGGGCAGGCCTTCCACCACTCTGCCCCCACCCTCTGGAACGCCATCCCGCAGTCCCTCGGTCTCGCCCCCTCCCTCGCCACCTTCAAGACCCATCTCAAGACCCTCCCCTTCGACCGTACTTTTGATCTCCCTGCTTTCCCTCCTCCCTCCCCCACCCCTACCCCCAGCTCGGGTCCGTAACTCTGTCTGTCCAGTGCCTTGGGACGTCCTCCTGACGTGTAAGGCGCTTTACAAATGTAATTTTGTTGTTGTTCCACTATTGGTTCTAACTAATGGAAATTACATTTCCAAACCTATGTTGCTGATAGCTATATTTTATTCCCAATTCTCTTTTCATGTACTTAACTACAATATCTTGTATTAAAACCATGGATATGCTCACCCTTCATATTTCTCCTTGTAATATTTAATTCCGTCATAAAACCTAATATGCGTTCTGCATCAACCACGGTTCTAGATCGGGTATTACATGTTCTAACATCTGTTATTTTGGTAATTACCTTTAAATCTATTTTCTCTGGTTAACAGCTACAGACTAGTGGAAATCATTTCCATCTTTTTACTTTCATCAAACTATTCAATTTTTTTTAAAAAAACCTCCCATCGGGTCTGTCAGCCACAGTTCCTCATATGTAACCTATCATCATAACAAATCTATTAACCATTTATGGTTCTGACATTCTTCCCATTTATGGGGTGCCCAAAATAGGATACATTACTCTAATTGCAGCCTAGCTGATGATTCATATGGGTTAAGCATACCGCTTTGCTTTTATATTATGTATGTATAAAGCCAAAGTTTCCGTTATCGTGTTTTATAGCTTGATCAACTTGCCCTCTCACCTTTAAAGATATGTGTATATTAATTCCTGGGGGTTATTTTAATCTAAAATCTCATATTGCTCTAATTTGTGACTTTGTTTTTTAAATTGTTTTCTAACTTTAGCAGTAGCACATTGGCTATACGTTTAGCTATAACGTGGAATATGCAGAATTATATTTGTGTTTGTTAACTTATGTAATTTAGGTAGCTGATCAGTTGATTCAGTAAATGCTTTAGTTGTTTTCAGGAGACGGTTGTCTGAAAGTTAGAATTAATCTTTTTTTAGCTGGCTCAGCAAGACATACAGTATAGGCTTATTAGGATTTACTTTGAAAAACTCTGCTTTTGCCTAGTGCAAACTGACATTGTTACAGTATTTAGCTGTGGTATTATACCCAATAGGAGAGAAGCAATTGATACTACTAATCTGTAGTTATGTTTAGACTAAGAACTTAAGTACTGTATACTCATAACTTAAGAGACAATTTACTGGGTTCCTTTGGGTTGCCTACAAAATACAGTCACTACTTTGCAGTATATCTTGTGATGTGCTTTGAAACATTCTCCGGCATGAAAGATGCTATATCAAATGTAAAGATTCTTTTTATTATTTACTTTGATTGAGTCTTCCCTTCATGACTGTTTGTGGGATGTTATTGTGTGCAAATTGGATGCCCTGTTCGCCCAAAGCACAGTCACTTCACTTTACAATAAATCCTGTAAAGTGCTTTGGGGCATCCTCTCAATGTGAAAAGTGCTATACAAAATGTAAGTGCTGTTATTATTACTTCTGGGATCCTGAGAAATAGGGGGGGTGTAACATTTAAAACTTTTATGGAAAGAAAAATTGTGCCTATAAACTAGAGTACTATTAATTGTTTCATTGATATAGTGCCTTATATCAATGGCTCAACCTTTCTGATTTTTCTGAAAAGTGTAGTGACTTTGTATTTGTAGGCAAATGCAACAGCAGTCCCAAGGCACTGGATAGTGTCCAGCATTTCAGACCCGAGCTGGGGTCAGGGAGGGGGAAGGGAAGGGAGGGGAAGGGGGGTGACCGATGGCATAGTCGAAGAGGAGGGTTTTGAGTCGGGACTTTAAGAGGGGCGAGGCGGAGTGATTGGGGGATGGAATTCCAGAGGTTGGGGACAGAGTGGCTGAAGGTGGGGTAGGAGGGTCGCGGGACGTGGAGAGGCCAAAGCCGTCTGAGCGGAGGGAGTCAGCGGGTTGGAAGGCTTAGGAGAACGCAGAGGTAGGATGGGGCGAGGCCATGGAGGGCTTTGTAGGTGAGGACCAGGATCTTGAACTGGATCCTCTGAAGGATAGGGAGCCAATGGAGTCGGGGGAGATGGGGTCATGGAGTTTGGTGCGGGAGAGGACACGGGCTGCAGAGTTCTGGATTATCTGCAGCCTGTGGAGGGAGGACTTGGGAAGACCAACAAGCAGGGTGTTTGTCGAGCCTGGAGGTGATTAGGCATGAACAAGAGTTTCAGCGGCCTTAAGGATGAGGTAGTGGGGTTGGGGGGTGTTTATGTGTTCCTGTAGCCTTTAGGATGAAACTAGAAGCCTTGGGAATACTAGACCAAATCTTCATTTTAGGATAAGGCATGGCTGTCACCCACCCTGTTCGGACAGATTTGGTGTATCTATTCCAAGCCTTTCTGACAGGAATGTGGTGCTTCCTCTCACCTCAATCTTCATGGTTCTGACCTTGAATGGTTCAGATCGTACCTCTCAAACTGCTTCCACTTCATCTCCCACAAACGGTTTCTCCTCTAGCCCCTGCACCGTCTCGTGTGGCATTCCTCACCGTTCTGTCCTTGGTTCCTTCCTCTTTAACATCTATACGCTCCCTCTTGGTGGCATCATCCGTAGATATAGGGTCAACTTCAACAAGTATGTGGATGATACCAAACTGTACCTCTCTGCCTCCACCCTCAACTCCAGGACCACTGCTGAATGTAGTTAATTTTCTTTAGTTGAATATCAACAAGACCAAGGCCCTCCTGATTGGCTCCCGTCAGCACCTACACTCCTCAGGCGCTGACAGCATCCACTTCTCAGGAGCTGCTCTATGTTCCCCACCTCGCTCGCCCCACCATTGGGTAGGTCTTCAGCCACTTAACCCCCACCTTTTCGAACTCCACCCAGCAATCTACCTCAACCCCTCCCTTGCCTTCTTTTTCTCCAGACCTAATTAGTAACTGTCCTCTGATGGGAGGGGGGGGGAAAGAGAAAATGGGATCTGGTCAGGCCCGTGCTAGTTTCAAAGTGACATAATTGGTATCAGAATGTTGACCTCTGTGATAATCTCAGTAATCCAGTTCCTGATCCTGGTAGATCCACAGTACTCCGAGGCACTGTTGATGACCGACAAGTCACACTTGGCTCATCAATGAGACTTGGAGTGGCAGAACAATCACTGCCCAACTTCTCATTAATGTTAACAAAACCCCTTCATCTCGGGTATTAATTTGGTGAATCATTACTAGTTGCTATCTTTGTATGGTTAAGCACTTTTAAATGAGGTGTGACTGGGGCTCCATATAAAATTTTATGATTCAGTCCTGTTTTCTAAACACCATTAATTATTTTA